AAAAAAAAAGACCCTTACAATTCTGACAACTCTGGGATAATTTTGTTGAATGTGAGGCTGTCTTTAACCCAATTTACTTACTTCCCAAAGAAATTAACTCTCATAATCCACTCCTTTAATTTTACCAAAACAATAAAGAAACACACACACACACACCTTTCAAGTCCTGTAATATGATGAATTTACATTCAAAATATTTTATGAAGAAAAAAAAAAGAAGTCAGTTTCAGTCAGTGAGTCCACAGTTCTTGGCTTCTCATTGGGAAGCTGCAAGATGTCCTTGAATGAGATCCTGAATACGTGACAGAATAATCTCATTAGAGCTGCTGCAATTTTCTGGCCCATATGGTGGGTCTATAGTCAGGACCCCAGCCACGCAGAGAGTTCTTTGTGAATCTCCCTGTTCAGTGATGGGGATGTGGTTCTTCTCAAGCCATTTCTTTAGGCTGTTCTTTCTCTCTTCCAGATCCTCTGGGCTGTATGCTTTGCAGTCTCCAGACATGAACAAATGCATCAGCTTCTCTCTTACTCGCTGGTCCCCTTCATTCACAGTTTCAACAGTCTGCACAGCATGTCCCATAATTCCAGTCACAGACAAGCTGCCATCTTCAAGGAAGTTCACGAGCACAAGACTGTGGAGGAAAAGCAAGTTAGGAGCAGATTTGCCAAAGAAAAATCTAAGGGCCCATAAACCTATGGAAGAAGCAGTGGGATGAGAGGTGTCAGCAACCCAAACAGGACACCAGAATAATAAGGAACCCTCTTCCCTGTCTGAAATTAATTTTCTCACCATCAGATGCTTTCACTTGTTCAACAAGCATTCACTGAGGATCCTAAACATTCAAAGTTTTTGCCCAGTCTCAAGCTAATCATTGTGGAATACAGTAAAAGTATCACTTAAGACTTATAAATGCCTACATGTGTATTAGAAAAAGAAGGGAGCCTAAGGACTTAACCTTTAGAGTTAAAAAAGAATAACTGAGAGGGACCAGCAGTTAGCGTAATGGCTATGTTGCTGGACTCCCACGTAGTCAACCGTGGTTCGCATCCCGGACCTGGTGGCTTAAAACTCACGCCGGGCGCATGTGCGTGCATGACCAAGATCCCAAGAGGAGAATGGAGAAGGGATTGCGGCGTGGCCATCCCCCCTAGGGGGTGATTTCTCACTTTCTGTCTCTATGTCTCTCTCTGTCTGTCTGGTGGGCGCGCTACAGTGAAAACCTCTCCAAAAAAAAAAAAAAGAATAACTGAGACCAATGGCATGACGGTCGAATGGTGTAAATGCTTTAATCTGCATTTATTCTTTTGTCTTAGTCCTTCTTTCTCTCTGGTGAGAGCACATGTCTTATAACAAATTAAATAATAATAATAAAAACAAATCAAATAATTATAATAAATAAAATTATTTTTTTTTAAAGTCACTGAATAACTACCCTCCAAATTAGAACAAAGGAAATAATAAGCACAATTTAATGAAATAGAAAACAAATGAAGGGACCAGCAGATGGCATAATGGTTGTCTCTGGACTCTAACGTAGTCAACCAGTGTTCAAGTCCCTGGTGGGTTAAAACTCACACCAGGCATGCGTGCATGTGTATTCCAAATCCTGAGAGAACGGAGAAGGGCCTCCAATGCATGGCCATCCCTCCTGAGGAGTGATTTCTTTCAAGTGAGCACACGCACCCTATAGCAAAAAACCTCTCTCAAAAAATAAAAAGAAAACAAAGTCAATGGATCACCAAATGAAAAGTTATTCTTTGAAAAAACTATACAGGAGGGCTGGTTGGCGGCATGATAATTAAGGCCCTGGACTCCCATGGTAATTAAGGCCATAGCTGCCCACAGTTCGAGTCCCAGATCTGGTGGCTTGCTTTCTCACTTTCCTTTTCTGTCTGTCTCTCTCTGGTCAAATTTAAAAATAATAATAAAATAAAATAAAGTGAATAATTATTAAAAAAAAGAAAAATATATAAAATTCACAAAACTCAAGCAGAATAAATAAAAATATTGAGAAAAAGATATTATATGATATTTATAGAGACTAGGAATAAGATAGCAAATATTACCAGGAAAGATTTAGTACAAATTTATGGCCAAAATCCCAAGAAGAGAATGGACAAGGGACTGCAGCAGGGCCATACTCCCGGGGAATGATTTCTCACTTTCCCTCTCCCCTATGTCTCTCTCCCTTTAGACAGAGTGCATGCACTATAGCAAAAACTAAAAAATAATGTCTATGTCCCATTTCTATGAACTTGGCTGGTCTGATAGGGTGATTTATAGTTAGAACAGCACTTAAGATTCAAAAGCCATTAAGTTTGTGTGCGAGAATAGCCCTTGGTCTCCCTGCTTTCTTAGTTTCTATACACACGGGCAACACAGGGGTGTCATGCTCAGGGAAGGAGGGTGCTACTCACTTCGCAGAGACGGGGTCTGTCGTTAAAACCCATCCTTTATACTCCTTCTTCTCACTGGCTGTCACTCTGACCTCTTTATAAACGTAATCTTGCCATTCGATGGGGCCTCTCTTCATCCATTCCGTCATGGTGGGCAGCAGGCTAGATCAGAAACACCCACCAGTTCCGCCCAAGCACGTCTCACCCCTAATTCAATCCTAGGGGCAGAGAACAGCTGTCATTTGCCTCAAGTTCTTAACAGGTTACTGAACACAAGTAAGCGTTAATACACGCACAAAGAACGGACCCTGGGGTTACGGAAAAAAACACGACTAATTTGCTCGAGAACTTTGTTGTTAATATATTATTATTTACAATGCAGCCTGAAGGCTACGGGGTCCAACGAGTTACCGCAGGCCGGGTCTGGGAAACCTCATCTGGCATAGCTCTCTTCCACCCTCCGCGCTCCGGTCGCCTTCCAGATCGCTCACTCCGGCTTTGAACTCCCGAACTCCGGCATGCAGGTGATGCTCAGACCTTCAACTCCGCTTTCCTCCCATCAAGAGATCGCCCCACACCACTTCCAGCCAAAACGGAAGCAAAGAACTGCTCGGATATGCACCCACTTGCGCGCCTGCTGTGCGTCTCCGCGGGATTCCAACACGCCCGCCCTCGGGTTGGTGACGGTTTCCTCCTAAATCGCCGCGAGGATGCGCGAACGAGCCGGCAGGAGTTACGGGGGTAAACTCAGGCGGCCGCTCCGTCCTGCAGCAGCACGATCTGAGAGCTGACCTCGAACCAGGTGGTCGTTAACGTCTCCTGACGAACGCTTAACGCGTCGCCCAGACAAACGGGGACGACGACCCGTTAACCCCAGACAAACGGGGACGACGCCCCGTTAAACCTCTCGGCAGCACGCCGCACTCCGCAACCACGCGGTGAGGGAGGCAGCCAGAGCGGCCCGCCCGCGCCCAGCATGCCGCGCGCCCGCTCACTTCCTTCCCCCAGAACTCCCGGTTTTGTAGTCCCCGGCCGTGGTCGCTCTTCGGTGGTCCTGGAGTGCCGGCTGGGGTAGGGACTGCGGTTTTTGTGTAATAACAATAGGCCTCCGGTGTTCGCTAGGGCCGCTCCTCGCCACCGCCCCGTGAGTTTTTCAAATAATATTTTCTTTAAGAAGAAAAAGCTTCGTACCATGTCCCCAGCGATAGTAGGCAGGTTTTTTGTTTTGTTTTGTTTTTGAGAGGTTTTTGCTATAGGGAGCGTGCGCTCGCCAGTAAGACAGAGAGAGACAGAGTGACAGAAAGCGAGAAATCACCCCCCAGGGGGGATGGTCACGCCACAGTCCCTTCTCCTCCATTCTCCTCTTGGGATCTTGGGCACGCATGCACACGCGCCTCGCATGAGTTTAGGCCGCCGGGACCGGGTCCGGGACTCAAACCGAAGTTAGCTACATGAGAGTTTAGCGACATAGACATTACCCTAACTGCTGGTCTGACTGTAGTCGTTTTGTTTTGGGGGGTTTTTTTTGCATGCAATCAAACCACGGGAACCCTCTAGGTAAATCCGAAAGCTCTAGAAGTGAGAGTTGAACGTGCTGTAGAGAAGAGGGAGAGAGCCAAGGCATTTGTTTACAATGCCTGTTCCTTTAGATGTGCCCAAGGTGCAACCCTTCCGAGGTACAGAAGCTGTAAAGAAATGGAGGGGATCAGGTTGAATTCCACCCAGCGGATAACTCACTATAAACCGCTCTAGTGCAAAATTACAAAAGATTGGCCTCCACTACAGATTTTGGTAATGAATTTAACGGACTCTGGCGAAGTCCAGAGTTTTCAAGAATATAATCTGGAAAAATGATACAAGATGGGGAATGCTGAATTTCTGCAAATGTGAAAACCAAAGGAGATTTACAAAAACGAAAGAAGACTATCAAACCATGGTGAAGAAAACACCTTTGGGCAAATTTCTAAAGAAAGAAAAAGAAATGCAGAGAAATCAGATGTTGGGGAAGTGGTGAAGTATAAACCATATGCACCATGACATTTTATGTAAAACATAATGTCTCTACTCAAAGTAATACATTAGGAAAAAAGACTGCAAAACAACCACCTCTCTTATGGAAAATAGCTTCAGATTGATTACCATTATCTGCCCTGCTCAGCTGCCCAAAAGAGATTTTACAACTTCAGAGAAGGATTGGTTCCCCTACCAGGATAAAGATAGGACAGGTTTTCTAGGATGGAAATGCTTTCAACAGACTTTGTGAACTAAAAAGCACTAGAAAAATGTAAAGCATGGGGACCAGCAGTTAACGTAATGGCTATGTCACTGGACTCCCATGTATGTAGATGACCACTGTTCAAGTCCCAGACCCGGTGGTTTAAACTCACGCTGGACGCGTGTGCGTGTGTGCCCAAGATTCGAGAGGAAAATGGAGGTGAAAGGACCGTGGAGTGGCCATCCCCCCTGGGGGGGAGTGTGTTTTTTTGCTTTCTGTCTCTTTCTGGCGAGCGCATGCACCCTGGAGCAAAAACCTCTCCAAAAAAAAAGTAAAGCATGAAAGTATAGAAAACTGCTTCTATGTTTATGTACCGCAAATATACCCAGACATTAGCATGTTTATGGCTAAAAATGCCTTTTTTTCATCTAGTTTCTCTTGTTCAATTAAGTAAGCAATTGAAGTGGTAAGAATACACGTTACACAGACTTTTGATTTGGAAAAAAGAATGGGGGGGGGTAACCATTTTTCTTTTTCCCTGGAATAGCCTTAGAACAAAAAAGAATGCTCACCACTTCTGTAGCTTACTTCTACAGAAAACTGCAGTGGTCCAGATAGGAAGTAGTAAACTCCTAGCCCAGGCTAGCAGTAAAAGTGAAAAGGAAAAGGAAAAATATATATAGATTGAGCAGACATTTCAATGGCAGAATCAACAGGGTTTCGTGATTGACTGGATTGGGGTAAGGGCATGTTGAGAAGGACTTTGGAGACTCCAGTCCTTCAGCAGAATGTTTTCTTTCATAAACCCCTCTCTTCTTCATTTTTTTCAAGCTCTTAGACTTCTTCATACAGTTATGTTTATTTAATTAGATAGGAAAGCGTCTTTATGAAATAAAAGTACTTCAATAGCACTTTATCTATGTGTTTAGTACAGGAGGGCAACAGTGAGTTACCTCCTCTAAGCTCTCATAAACTGACCCAAAAAGTTCAACTAAATGGCGGGCCAACAGGTGGTATGGTGGTTAAGGCGCAGGACTCCCACATGACCAACTTAGTGGTCTGAGTCCTAGACCAGTGTCCCGAAAATCATGCCGTGCCTGTGTGCGTGTGTGTGTGTGTACCCAAAATTGTGAAAGAAGAATGGAGAAGGGACTGCAGCATGGCAGTCCCCCCCACCCCGGGGAACGATTTCTCACTTTCCCTCTGTGTCTCTGACCAGCACACACACCTATGGCAACAACTTTTTAAAAAATGTTAAACTAAATGGATGTGATTAGATCTATTACTCTTGTGCACAAAGAGACCTTCTATAATCTGAATGACCAAAGAATGTGGGAACAACTAAAATTCTAAGCTAGGAAGCAGGATTGGATGGGACTATATTTCATTTTTTAAAAAGAATTATTTTATTTAACATTTATTCATTTATTTATTTTTTATTTTTATTTTTTGAGAGGTTTTTGCTATAGGGTGCGTGCGCTCGCCAGACAGACAGAGACAGACAGAGAGACAGAAA